ATTTCACCCGGGTGTGCCTGCCTTCTCTTCATTGGCCCCTGGTATTTCTAATTGAAGTCCCTATTTCACCCCAGGGGTGCCTGCTTTCTCTACATTGGCCCCCAGGTTTTCTAATTGAAGTCCCCATTGCACCTGTGGTCCCTGCTTTCTCTTCATTGGCCCCTGGGGTCTAAATTGAAGTCCCCATTGCACGCATGGTCCTTGCTTTCTCTTCATTCAACCCCGGGGTTTCTAATTGAAGTCTCCATTTCCCCTGGGGGTTCCTGCTTTCTCTTCATTGGCCCCCAGGATTTTTAATTGAAGTCCCCTTTTCACCCGGGGGTGCCAGGTTTCTCTTCATTGGCCCTGGGCTTTCTAATTTAAGTACCCACTTCACCGAGGGGTGCCTAATTTCTCTTCATTTGCCCCTGGGGTTTCTCATTGAAGTCCCCAATGCACCCGCGGTCCCTGCTTTGTCTCCACTGGACTCAGGGTTTTGGAATTGAAGTCCCCATTTCACCCGGGGGTGCCTCCTTTCTCTTCATTGGCCCCCGGGATTTCTAATTGAAGTCCCCATTTCAACCAGGTGTGGCAGCTTTTTCTTCATTGGACCCCGGGGTTTGTAATTGAAGTCCCCATTTCACATGGGGGTGTTGGCTTTCTCTTCATTGCACCCCTGGGTTTCTAACTGAAGTCCCCATTTCACCCAGGTGTGTTTGCTTTCTCTTCATAGCCCCCAGGGTATCGAACCGAAGTCCCCATTGCACCCAGGTGTGCCTGCTTCCTCTTCATTGGCCCCTGAGGTTTCGAATTGAAGTTCCCATTTCCCCCGGGGGTGCCTGCTTTCTCTTCATTGGACCCTGTGGTTTTAAATTGAAGTCCCCATTGCACCCGCGGTTTCTGTTTTCCCTTCATTGGCCCCAGGGATTTCTAATTGAAGTCCCCATTTCACCCACTGATGCCAGCTTTCTGTGCATTGGCCCCAGGGGTTTCGAATTGAAGTCCCTATTTCACCCCAGGGGTGCCTGCTTTCTCTACATTGGCCCCCGGGGTTTCTAATTGAAGTCCCCATTTTCCCCAGGGGTGCCTGCTTTCTCTTCATTGGCCCGCGGGGTCTAATTGAAGTCCCCATTGCACCCGTGGTCCCTGCTTTGTCTTCATTGGACCCTGGGGTTTCTAATTGAAGTCCCCATTTCCCCCTGGGGTGCCTGCTTTCTCTTCATTGGCCCCCGGGGTTTCTAATTGAAGTCCCCATTTCACCCAGTGGTGATTGCTTTCTCTTCATTGACCCCAGAGGTTTCGAATTGAAGTCCCCATTGCAACCGTGGTGCCTGCTTTCTCTTCATTGGGCCCCGGGGTTTCAAACTGATGTCCCCATTTCACCTGTGGGTGCCTGCTTTCTCTTCATTGGCCCCAGGGGTTTCGAATGGAGGTCCCCATTTCCCCAGGGGGTGCCTGCTTTCTCTTCATTGGACCCCAGGGTTTCTAATTAAAGTCCCCATTTCCCCCGGAGGTGCCTGCTTTCTCTTCATTGGACCCCGAGTTTTAATTGAAGTCCCCATTGCACCCGCTGTGCCTGCTTTCTCTTCAATGGCCCCCGAGGTTTGCAGTTGAAGTCTCCATTTCACCCAGGGGTGCCTGCTTTCTCTTCATTGGCCCCCGGGGTTTCTAATTGAAGTCCCCTTTTCTCCCAAATTGCCTCCTTTCTCTTCACTGGCCGCCAGGATTTCTAATTGAATTCCCCATTTCAACTGGATGTGGCAGCTTTCTCTTCATTTGCACCTGTGGTTTCTAATTGAAGTCACAATTTCACCCGGGGGTGCCTGCCTTCTCTTCACTGGCCCCCGGTATTTATAATTGAAGTCCCCATTTCACCCAGGGGTGCCAGCTTTCTCTTCATTGGCCCTCGGGGTCTAATTGAGGTCCCCATTGCAACCGTGGTGCCTGCTTTCTCTTCATTGGCACCCGGGGTTTCGAATTGAAGTCCCCATTGCTCCCGCGATGCCAGCTTTCTCTTAATTGGCGCCCAGGGTATCGAATTGAAGTCCCCATTTCCCACAGGGGTGCAGGCTTTCTCTTCACTGGCCCCCGGGGTTTTGAATTGAAGTCCCCATTTCTCCCCGGGGGTGCCTGCTTTCTGTTCATTAGACCCTGTGGATTTAAATTGAAGTCCCCATTGCACCCGCGGTTCCTGCTTTCTCTTCATTGGCCCCAGGGGTTTCTAATTGAAGTCCCCATTTCACCCATTGATGCCAGCTTTCTCTGCATTGGCCCCTGGGGTTTCTAACTTAAGTCCCAATTTCACCCAGGGTTGACTGCCTTCTCTTCATTGGCCTCCGGTATTTCTAATTGAAGTCCCCATTTCACCCCAGGGGTCCCAGCTTTCTCTTCATTGGCCCCCATGATTTCTAATTGATGTCCCCATTGCACACGTGGTGCCTGCTTTCTCTTCATTGGCATCCGGGGTTTCAAACTGAAGTCCTCTTTTCTCCCGGGGGTGCCAGCTTTCTCTTCATTGGCCCCCAGGGTTCCGAATTGAAGTCCCCATTGCACCCGCAGTGCCTGCATTCTCTTCATTGGCCCCAGGGGTTTGAATGGAAGTCCCCATTTCCCCCGGGTGTGCCTGCTTTCTCTTCATTGGCCCCCGAGGTTTCGAATTGAAGTCCCCATTTCCCCCGGGGGTGCCTGCTTTCTCTTCATTGGCCCCCGGGGTTTCGAATTGATGTTCCCATTTCCCCCGGGGGTGCCTGCCTTCTCTTCATTGGCCCCTGAGATTTCTAATTGAAGTCCCTATTTCACCCCAGGGGTGCCTGCTTTCTCTACATTGGCCCCCAGGGTTTCTAATTGAAGTCCCCTTTTCCCCCAAGATTGCCTCCTTTCTCTTCACTGGCCGTCGGGATTTCTAACTGAAGTCCCCATTTCAACCGGGTGTGGCAGCTTTCTCTTCATTTGCACCTGTGGTTTCTAATTGAAGTCACCATTTCACCCGGGGGTGCCTGCCTTCTCTTCACTGGCCCCCGG